CCCGCCCCCCTTGCTTGGAAGTTATGTGAGCTTACAATTTATGTAGCCGGTCTGCTCTTCAGTTCATGCATGAATTAAATAGTGGTAATTTAGATTTATTCATGTTTATAAATAGGTTTGAGTCCTGCATGGAAAAACGTCAACTGTCTAGACTTTTAAGCTATTATTAATTATAGTTTTTATTCGCTTTTACATCAAATCGAAGCAAGTGGTATTTCTGTTCTATGTTGTATCTGTTTTTATAGCAAGTCCTAACAAGTGTGACAATATTGCAAGGCTGTGACTGTATGAAAAAAGCAGATTCTGGAAATGAGTAATTTGTTTAAGCCTCTAAGTCCTTTTTCTCTCCCCCTCCAGACTAGCATTAACAGCATGCTGAGTGTATATAGTGAAACTGGTGACTATGGCAACGTGAAGGTCAGCGGCGAAATCCTTCTCAACATCAACTATAGCTACAAAACAGGTGGCCTCAACATCCTGGTAAAAAGTTGCAGAAACCTGGCTGTTGCAGATGAGAAGAAGCAAAGGACTGATCCGTAAGCACAGAGAAGAATTTCTTTTTAGGCTGTGCTAGGGGTGTCCTCCACCACGTCACGCGCAGTGACGTAGCCTGGGATTGTGATATGAACCTGAGAACTCGTAGGATCCAGTTGCTACAAGCCAATGTTTTGATGATGGTTGGTTTTGGATTCCCTGTGGGAAATGCATTTTCAATATGTTTCTTAGGGCAACGTGTGCCTGTTCTGGGGAAACAATAAAATTACTTAAATTATCAACCTGTTTGATAGCAGTCTCTGCAAAAGGGCAAAAATTATGAAGGAATAGGGAGCTTGAATTGATTTCTTACTTCTAGAATCAAAACTAAACTATATGAGAGGAGTGATGTTTTGGAGGGAGGGAGGGATAGAGATAACTTTGGTTTCACGCATCCATAGATTCACTTTGCAAGGACCATGTTTTCTGAGCTTCTCATTATAGTTTTCAGGATAATATGTAAATTCTTTCATCAGGAAGTAATAATTAGTGTCTCTAATCATGTGTAATCCTATCGTATGCAAGTATGAAGTTTTTCATTCTCTTGTATTTTCAGTGTATGTATTTCCATATGTAACCAGTCAGTAATCGTATGCTACAAAAAGCGAGGTGTTAGGAAAGCTTTCTGCATTTCTGAGGATGAATAAATTAATTTAGTTCTGCCTTTTGTTATTCTGATCCTATCTGAATAACATTGCTATATATGTAGATAAAGACCATACCTTTCCATGTTTCACATATTGTCTGTTACGTGTGTACATTGTTTAGACTGAAAAAATTAATTTCCTTGTATGTGTTGCTGATGCAGCAGGTCCTTGCTCAAACTGCTCATTTTTATTCCTTGCTAATAATTTACTACTTGATCTGCAGATATGTCAAAGCATACCTTCTGCCTGATACGTCCCGCCAAAGTAAACGCAAGACCAAAATTAAAAGTAACAGCACCAATCCAGAGTTTAATGAAACGCTGAAGGTGAGAACACTGTTTCTCTCTCAGGCTGTGATGAATGTTCCGCTTGTGCTCACAGGCGTTTTCTATAAGTGTTCCAGTATGGGAACTAGAATTTGGAAGAGATGTCTCAAAAGGAATGTATTTAAGCAAAACCGTCTAGTAATCCTGAGAGTTGTAATTTCTGGCTTTCAGCACTGAGGAAGCGGTTTTGTTTGGTTCTCCCCTTTATAGGTAAAACTTCTATTAGTTTCCATAGATCTCTTTCAAAACTGCTGATGTTCCTGTCTAACCTGAGCTCAGAGATGTTAAAAGCACCTTAACGATTTTGTAAGCCCTAAGTTACCAACGGATGCTGACATAGAGCTAGATTAAAACTTCCTATCTAAGTGATTTTGAAGAGAAAATAACCTTTTGCAGTAAAATCTGAATTTCTCTGGAGGCTTTAATTTCTTATTAAAGCAGAACTGACTTTGATAAGAAAATGCCAACAACGGCTTCACTACCTGCCTTCCTAAAAAGCTGTGAGGAAATTCATTTTTTGTTGCAAAAGACAATGACAGATTACTTCCTTGAGAGCTGGTGGAGCAGAGCGCCCAGGCTCTTCCTTCCTTGCCTTTCACCCACGTCCACTACAGATGCTGAACTATTTTGAGCTCCTCATGAGCTGCTTATTCACCTCCTTGGCTCTGTGGTGCAGGTGGGAATGGCAGAGTTTCTGCCCAGTTCGCTGCCTGTCTGGCACCTGGACCACAGGGCTCCTGGTGATTCCCCTTCCTTGTCGATTGACGAGAGTTATCCCAGCCGGCTGTCATGAGGCCAGAAACTCTTTTTAGTTTCTCCTGAAATTTTTCTTTTTTTTAATTTCAGTGATGTTTTAAATAAGTTTCTTATAATAGAGGCCAATAGATGTTCCCTGGCCAGTATACTTGGTTTAACCTGGCTATAAAATCATTTTGCAGATTTACACACACTTGGTCTGGCCAAACTGCTTGCCAAGGGAGAGTCTCTTGTATAGCCTCATTTTCAAATGGTTTAGAGTAAAGACTTGCCTGAACTGGAAAAAAAAGGTGTTAGACTATTTAGCAAGGAACATAGCACTAAACATGTTTGCTAGTAGCGGATTTGGTGACGATAGGACCTAGCAGCTTGCTAAAAATGCAAATTGTAACAAAGAGGGCTTACTTGACTTATGGGTAGGTAAGCAAGAGCTACATCTGTTCGTCCCAACTGTTACTACCGTTAGAAAAGAAAAATAATTAAATCTGTATCTTCCCTCTTTGACTTTTATTCCATTGTTGCTAAATATGACATCTCTCACAGTGGAACTGTTGGCATCTAGGATTAAGCATTGTAGACATATCTGTACAGGAATAGCCTACTTGTGTGGCTCGCCAACTGACTTGACTGTTTCAGCTTTTGGAGAATATGTGTCTGTGTCCAGACGTTGTTCCTGATGCAAAAAAGAAGACATCTGGGTCTCCTCAGCTAACACTAGGAGAAGGGTGAATTTCAGGGAATTAATGGGCCTTTTGCTAAAAGCAGAGTGTGCAGAGCTAGAATTCCAGATGTTTATAATTCTCTGTGTATTTGCTAGAATGTGATGTTTCTTCAGAGGAGTTTTTTAATAGCTTTCAAAACCAACAATGGTTACTAAGACTGAGATGCTTGGTGAATGCTTGCAGATGCAGTTTTACTTGTTTTCAGAATTATTTTTCATAAGTTACAAAGATACAATTGAAAAGGAGAACAGTATTTCTAGAAAGTAGTGTACAGCAGACTCTTTAGGGATGAAAGAACCAGTGAGGTTTCTTCTTACAAACTAAACTTCGATGTTGATCTGCTTCTTTTACATAAACTTATAAGGAATTAACAGGGTCACAGTTTTAAGCATCATAATTTACTTTATAGTCATAAATACCCAGTAAATAATACAGAAAAAACACAATCATGATAGTAATATTAATTACCATGGATGCATAGTGCAAAGAAAAGAGTTAGGTTTAACATTAACATTATGAGCCTTCTAGCTAGATCAATCTTGTTTGCAAAGAAAACAAATCTCTCTTTCATGCTTCATTTGTTAGCTGCTGTGGGTTTTGTGAAATTGAGCTACAGCTGTAAAAGGCTCCATGGAAACTATTATTTATGCTTATTCTGACAGTTTCTTTTTCTCTTTTTCTGTTGGTAGTATGTCATCAGCCACACACAGCTAGAAACCAGGACCCTGCAGCTTTCTGTCTGGCACTATGACAGATTTGGACACAACAGCTTCCTTGGGGAGGTGGAAATTCCATTTGATTCCTGGAACTTCGAAAATCAGGGCGATGAGTGGTTTGTGCTGCAGCCCAAGGTAAGGGTTTCCAGGGACTGGTGAAAGTGTTGCAAAGCAAATTTAGCAAGGCTTAGTTATTTTTCCTTTGGAACGTGTTTATAAAACGGTGACTTTGAGTGTTTAATATGGTAATAAAAATAGTATCTTTGTTCTTTATTCAATCAAAGCATACTGGTTTTGAAGTCTTCATGAAAACTTTACATGTGATTGGCTACTTAAAAACAAACAAAAAACCCCCACCTTTTAAATAAACTAGAAGTTCATCTTGTAATAAACTGCAGTGGAGAAATGACCTAGTAAAGAAATTGATTGTTTTTAAAAATAGCGCGTAAACCAAAGGACTTTTCTACCACTTCCCCCTACCCAACCCTTAAGAGTTTATTAAAGAAATAGATCTTTTTTGTTTCAGTTCAAAGTGCTTCACACTTTTCCGCTGTGACAAAATCACTTATTAATCACTTATTCACCTTAAGTAGGAAGGTACAAGATAAGGCTTCTCAGCAGGCAAATCAATTGGTCTGTGAAACAGGACTTGCATTGTCCTTAGCTAAGGATAGGATGACTTCTGTCTCTAGGGCACCCCCTGCTTTGGCAAAGGTGTTTATTTTTGGAAGAGATTCAAAGAGCTATTGTAAGCTAGAGGATTAAAGGCTTCTGCCTTGCTTGCTCCTGCAGCAGCCAGAATCCCCAGAAATTCCAGTGGGTTAGATTGCCATTTCAGAAAGTGTACTTTTCTTGCTGCAGAAAAATCCAACGTTTTACTGCAAGTGATGTGGAGATAGACTCAGGTGGCTTGTTTGCTCTGTGTTCATTATTTTTAAGGAAATAGTGTTACGTTTGGGGTTTTAGGCAAGAGTGTTTGATTTGTGCCTTTCTGTCAGGTGGGAGATGGATCTGATTGCTGTATAATTAATTTCTAGGTATAGCCCTTTGAGGCTTACATCTAAACTGTCACAAATTTATATTTTAGTAAATAATTTCCAGAAGATACATAAGGAAACTGCTCTCTTCTTTGAACACTTACACCTCACACTTCATTAGTGGCAAGGAACACCATTCCCAGTTTCCTAGTTCAGCTTTGTTAATAAGGGTGACCACCAGCTCTTCCTTCATGGTCCAGACAAGGTGAGACCAGGAAGAGAAAGTGGCTAATGACGGCAAACATGTTTCAGTCAGCACTGTGTCCAGGCCAGGATTATACCGTCCTCCTTACAAGCTTGCTTCGTGTAAGTTCCTTTTGTTGGGTCTGCTCTTGAAGTAGAAGAAATGTCTACTACATCTCTGTCATAGCTCTGGCTGGTGTCAGATGTTGCTCTTACTTCGTACCCACCAGCCTACAACAGTAAGATACACATCTAGTATTTGTTTTGCTTGCAGTTTGTATGCAGTGTTGGTCTGAAATTGAGCTTCTTATCGTGCAGTAGTCTCTTTGTCATCTCATTTCAATCTTTGGGGGTTTGTGTGTGTATGGGTGGTTTCTTTTAATCCTAACAGGGGGGGAAAAAAAAAAGAATCATGAAGCTCTCCTGCTCAGGAAAAAAGTAATGAGGCGCTAAACATTTCAGCCATTCCAGATGGAAAATGTTGTCTGATTATTTCCAAACCCATTAAAAGGATTTTTAAATGAGTTCTTTTTTACCAAAGAAAGCAAACACAGAATTGATCTTGTCTGCCTCCTAAGTTGTTATAAATAATGTTTCTAAACTTAAAATGCTGCTAAGATTTTTGACCAGCAAAGATAATATTTTTTTAAAATATCAATTATTGCATTTTGAATTTAAAAAAAAAAAATCCACAGGTTAATACACATGCAAATTACATGCTGTTCTCCCATATGATCTGCCTGATAGAGACAGGAAAGGCAGTGAAACATTTCCCGGGTTTTATTACAGCACTTTATTTGTACTATCATGAATCATTTAGCTGCTTTAGTGAAAAGGTTGGAGAATTTAAGACCTGTATCTTCTATGAGCATTGAATGTCTGTTTTCAAGAGGAGTGTGGTTAAATCAGAATAAGAAGAGAAAATAGTTCTGTGGTTAAAGAGGGGGCAGAGTCCAGAGCCATGTTATATGGGGGCTTGGGGGGGAGGTTGACAAATTGTTCCTGATGCAAGAACTTACACCATCACTTGTCCACCAGTAGAACAGAAAAAAATAATCCTTGCTCCCTTTATGGGAAACTTGATACTAAACTTGCATAGTTTAGACCATAAGTGAGCTGCCTGACTGGCAAGATTTAGATGTTGTGCAAACTGTTCCACAGCCATTTACTACAAGTTTTCTTTTGTCCTCTGTTGTAGCAGCTGGCATCAGACAGTGGTGGAGACAGGGCCGTTTTTCTCAGAGTCAGTGCCGGAATGCCTGTGTTGCTGTAAAACTGCTTCAAAGTCTCAAAACGGCCATGTTGTTGTCACTGAAACTGCTTTGTGCCCTATCCCATCCTTGTGTACAGACTTAGCCCCACTAAACGTAGTTAGTGCCTTAGCCTTCAGTCTATGATATGAAGGCAGTGCTGACTCTGTGCATATCACCTTATGTATTTCTGGTGGGCTTTTTTTGGTTCTGTTTTCTCTTGATAATAGAATTTTGACCTTCCTGGGGAATCAGGAAACAAGCTGAATGCATTTCAGAGAAATACTGTCACTGATTAGACATTCGTCTATAAGCAGTTCTTTAAAGGCTTGTGTGGTACCTTGGTGTGTGTGTCTCAACACTCGAGGGTCCTCTTTCTTTTTACATGTGCTTTGTCCCTGTTGAGAGATCAGGAAGATTTGTTGATTTGTACCCAAATCTAAGCACTGAAGCATATACAGAAATGTGAGTATCTGAGTAGTCCCACCTCCATTAGCAGAGATCACTGAGCAAGGTTAGCATATGCCTGAGTTTTTCATAGACCTGATCTCTAATGTAAATGTACAAGACTTCTTTTTTTCAATGCACTTTATTTTTCTAGAAGTCAGTTTGAACTGGCATAACGCTCTCTCTGTGTTGCATCTATTGTTTTTAAAATGTAGTTTCCAACTTCTTACAAGGCAAATGGAAGTTCAGCATATGTCAGTGAAGGCCTAATGTTCTTTTAACAAGGATGCTTTCAAGAGCACTGAATGCATTCTTTCCGGGCAAGAGTCAAACATTTATAAAACAAAAAGATGCAGAAATAGTTGCTGTGTAGAAAAGGAAAAGGACACTGGGAATAACAGTTTTCAAGAAGTTTTTCTATTTCAGAGCTGGACTCTGCTTTCTTCCCTCACCTTGGTTCCCCACGCCTCCATTCCAAGAGCGACTCAGGAGTGACTCCTCTAAAGTACATGAAACCAATTAGGGTTTAAAATCCTGATTGGGGGAAATAAGGGCTGAATGTCATCTTAAATTAGCTGCAGTTTATATGTCCAGAAATAAGTTTGAGGGTTTTTTCCCTGTTTTTTTTTGCTTCACTTATTCATGCTAGATATCTCGCTCCTCCGTATGTTCACTGAACAGTGTCTAATGCCGCATGGCTTTATTCTTCCGAGAGCTTGCATTCCCTAGCTTATAAAGTTTCCTAAATTGTGATTGCATTCAATCTGGAATGTCTAATTATCTGAAAGTGGGCTGGTATGTCTTGATATGTTTAAGAAGTGTTTCGAGCATTATATTGGTACAACAAAATTAAAATCAAAAGAGGGTGAATGATTAACTTCAGCTGGATTTCTGTTTTGTTTGTTTGTTTCTTTTCAGGTGGAGGTTGTGACAGATGTTGGGCTTCAATATAAAGGAGAACTGAGAGTTGTTTTACGTTACATTCCCCCAGACAGAAACCTAATGCTTCCTCTAGGGCAGTTTCAAGGTAAAGAAAACATTAATGTCAATATGATAACATCCCTCTGAGTATTAAAAATCCTTACCTAGGTTGAAGTAATGGTATTAGTGAAGATTGAAATCATACTAAAATATACTAGTTGTCTTTATCTGTGGAAATTTTGAACCGTGAGTATGTTTCTCCTGCTCCATCCTCTTCTCTTACATTGAACTTAAGGAGACAGAAGGGAAGAGGAGTGTGCAGTCAAGTGTTAATGCATGGCTGTGACCTAATTAAAAAAAATTCACACATTAGATAACATAATTGAGGACAGCCACATAGAAATAAATTGTCTGCATCATAGTCTATGTATGTTTTGTTCAGCTGGTTATATACAGTGTATAGGTGATCAAAGTAATAGACTTCACTTAGTTCTTCATGCTTAATTACCCTTAAGCTTAGCTATCTTCTCATTTTCACTCTTTTTTCACACTGCTTTACCTGTGCTCAGTTTTACTGTATTACTGCTATAATTCAGTCCTGTAAAATATTATTTGAATTCTTCAGGGTAAACCATTATTTTCATCAACAAGGAACAGGGGAAAATAGTTACTAACTCTTTGCATTGTAGCAGCATGAGGGACAGCCATCATCTGAAGTGAAAGCAATCACTGGGTAGCACCTGTGTACATGGATATAGCAGACACAGGTATATCACTGTCTTAGTGACAGTATTGCTCATTAGCATTAGGATTTAATAGATGTATTAGACATTTTTCTTTTTCTTTCTCTTTCTTTTTTTGACAGATTACGTTCCTGCTGCTAGCAGTAATTCCAAAGTTTTCTCTCTTAAAAGCTAACCGTTGTCTGAAAAGTCCAGATATACACTATCTGAATTTTTTAAAATTAGTACATTTTAACATTATTCCTGATCTTTTTTTCTGATGTTTTCAGCCTGAATCAGTGTGTACGATCCCTGCTGATAAGCCTTTTAGAATCCACAGCAGCCGCAAGTACACATGTCCTCATGCTGCTGTTCAAAAGCAATAGCGTGTCAGTGAGCACCGTGTCCTTTGTCATGGTCTCCGAGGAGCTCTGCATCCTTACACATGGAATACCTGCGGTGTATTTCTGCATTTTAAGCTTTGCATTCAGACCTTGCTTGTGGTGTAGGGCTGCCTTAACGTCAGTGGTAGAAGTGGATTCTGAAAAGAGGGTAGGACTTACAGGACATGCAGTTCTTTGTGTTCACGAATACTTATATCTGGGCAGGACTTCAGATAGGGCACTCTGTTGTGTCCAGCAAAGACTAGCTAGTTACATGGTCAAGTTCTTTATCAAATATGGAGTGATTTTTCTGTCCCTGCCTTATTAGTTTCTCTACCCATAGAGAATCAGAATCTTCTCATAAAGAATACTTTAATCCCACTGCAGTAAATGATTAAAAAAAAAAATCTAGCCAAAACATTTACATTTCCAAATCAGTCTTGCAGTGTATATGTGATTTCTGACGATGATGTTGCAACTCTGTTCAACATGTATAGGAAAGAAGAGCTTTAAAAAAGGAAAAAAGGGAGACTCTCACATGCCGTCTGGAGGTATATTAGAAGTCCTCATCAAAGAAGCAAAGAATTTAACGGCAGTGAAATCAGGAGGCACATCTGACACTTTCGTGAAAGGGTCTGTGTTTTTTTTCCTCCCCATTTTTTTTAACAGCTGCACTGAATCATATTTTGGCTGACCCAGTTTGTTTCAATATATCGGTATATATGTGTATGGAGTGTCAGTCCTGAAAAGCAACTGGCATCTCGAAATGGTATGCTGAAGAGAATGATGCTGTGGAATAAGGGCAGAGAGGTACGAGTTGTCCCAATGGTTAAATACAAATGTATTTAAATACCACTCAGTCAAGTGGTATAGAATCATTCATACAGAAGTATCCAGTGTGCTGATGTGCGCACTGTTATAGAATATAACGTTTGGTAAAAGAAAACACTTCCACTGAGTTGGCAGAGAGAGGTAGGTGAATATTCATCACTCCTGGAGGCAAGAAGTTGTAAATTAGGGCTCTCGCACTGGAGATGATACCTGATCGGATGGTGACATTTACATTTTCAGGAAATTGAAACAGTACATATTTTTTACTAGGAGGAATAACCAGACTACATCCTGAATAAGAAACTTGTTTTCATGAAGATACAAGTCTATTTGGATCCCTTGTAAAACTGCAAATAGCACCTATAAAAGCTGGCATGCTCCATCAAGCTGAGGTTCTTTCTAATGGATGTCACCTGAAACATGCAGAAAGAGAAAATTCATTATCTGTGTGAGGAAATTCTGTTTTGATTCAAGTAAATACGCTAAATAAGAAAAGATTTTTCTCTCTTATACTATAAATAGTTTTGGGGTTTTTTCTAGTGCTTAACTGGGAAAGCTCTTTGGCATGTAGTACAGTGTCAAGGAGCACATTTAAACCCTGAGGGTTCCCAGGAAGTCTATCACTGACTTCAGATGTAGTGTCTTAACTCCAATTGTGTCTCGTTGTTAACATTTAATATTCTTTGACAGAAGACATTTAAAATTCTTTGACAGAAGACATTTAAAAATTCTGCTCTGATGGCTTTCAGGTTGGATTTTAAAGATGCATCATTTTGAAAAATTTAAGGTCTCTGTCACTTGTATGCTTGTATGCATGTGCATACATAAAGATATATATAGTGTGACATATATGCATCTTTTTATTAGATAAGCAGCATTTTGTGTTGGACGGTCAAAATCCAAACTCTATAGAAAATGCTATATATAGGCTATACTTGTGCTTGAATAAAATGAACATAATCCTGCATGCCTCATTATATTGGATTTTTTATAAATGTAAGTTATGCATTTGAAATGTTACATTTAGGAAATACTGGATAGCTTAAAACATTTTTCTTTGTCAGTTTTTGCTCTTAATGCTAGCTTTCAGAATTGCTGATTTTTAGATATGCTGTAGTTCATGAATAACAGTTTGAGTGCTGTTACTAAATGGTGACCATCCTGCCTTTAATTCTCTGGTGGAGCTGAGAATTCATCTTGATCTGGTAGTGTGCTTCAAGCTATCCCTAAGCTCATACACTTCATGTAGAAGTTTGAGCTATCCTTTCTATGTGTTTGTTCTCCCATGCCATCTCTCTTTGCCTGGTATATGTGAAGGCATTTTCTTTTACTGAAAATAGACTGACTGATTCCACTACCCCTTGTTCCCACCTGGAGCTTGCAACAGACTTCAGGGAGAAAATGTTGTCAAAGCCTTTTTACATTAGCAGTAGCAATGTGTGGCCAATAATTCTCTGGACTATCTTTAGTTAGTGGTGTTTGCTGTTGCTGACACGGATTATTCAGTGCAGTGGAACAGGAGTCTGTTTTCCTTGGACTGTTGGTCAGTCACGTGTCATGGCCAATTGCATAATCAAGTTGCCAGAACAAGTTGAGGTGCTGCAGCAGTCTGATCTGCACTGTTAGCTTGAGACTAGCTTGAGATAATTTCACATAGCTTAGCCCACTATTAGTCCCCCTGCAGTAAACGAGCTCATGTTTGTTGTCAAGTAAAAACCTGCACAGGAATCCTGATCGAGGTCTAGTGATTTGTATGTATGTGTGACCCTTTAGCATATATATGCAACCACACAGTTATTCCATTAACGTTGTTGAAGGAGGTGAAGGTACAGACTAGGAAAATTTGTACAGACCTCTGATTTTCAGCTAGAGTATTAAGTTCTTTTAGTTTCACTAAAGGAATTCTCCGCTAAAAGTAAAACGTTGAAAGGCTTGTCAGACTTTACAGCATTAGTGTTTCTGCACTCAGTAGGGTGTTAGGCAATTCAAAGTACTGGTGCTAAACTGCTGAAGTTCCTTCTTTATTAGTCATTTCTGTTTCTTTCTGGAGGACCTTCTGTCCTGCTTTTAGAGGAAGACTGGACTGGGCAGCTCCAGAGGCGCCTTCTAGCCAACATTTTTATGATCCTGTCTATATTTAGTCTCATTGAAATAAAAAGTTTGTGGTTAAGACCCAAGACATGGGGCAAGGAGACTTAATTTCAGTTTTTGCTGGTGATAACTGACACTGTAGCTATAAGAACAAATGGAGCACAAATGCTAAATATGCACTTCAGGCATATGCTTAATTTAGTAACAGTGGAGAATAGAGTCCTGATCTCATTTGAGTCTCCACATGATTGTAATTCTTTGTGACTATTATGTGACATCCTGTCTACATATTCAATTTTCCTTTTTTATATCTCCCAGATACCTTCTCCCAGATGACAGCAAAGCTACAAAACACAAAACTCCCATAATAAAAAAGAGTGTGAACCCCCAGTGGAATCATACCTTTGCTTTCAGTGGCTTGAATTCAAGGGATATACGTAACGTCTGCCTAGAACTGACTGTGTGGGACAAGGAGTCGCTCTCCAGTAATATTTTTCTGGGAGGTGTCCGTTTGAGCACTGGAAATGGTAAGGTCCCACCTGACTGGTGACTGCGTTTCTTATTCTGCTCTCCTTCTTCCCCACCCCACGTGATTCATGTATATGAGGGACAGAAATGTTAGTGAATGCATGGAAAGTATATGGGAACTTGGGGAAATTGAAAAGGGAGAGAAGGCAACAGGTAATCCGTAGATTATTTAGTTCTTTCCTTGAGCAAGACACAAAAATTTTGTGCCCAGTTGTACTTCTTGTGCAGTCTAGAAGAACTGGGAATACCTTGGAAGTGTTTCTTAGCATCCCGGTGAGGAGGAGGAGACTACTTTTTTCCAGCAGCAGCCTTTCTGCTGACAATGGTGTGATCTGGAAGAATTGTTGGTCCATTCCTCCTCTATTAGGAGAAAGTTGCTTGTGGTGCAGAGTGGGAAGGTTTATGTGCCTCTGCCCACATGCCACATAGGAGTGTAATGACAAACTGGTGCTCTCCAGGAGCTACCTGTTGTCAGTATAACTCCCTGTACAGGTGGCAGTGTAAATGGCTTGTCATCTTTCTTATATGCTGTTGGACCAAATGAGCGAGGATATTAAGTAACTGCTTACTAATATGCCAAAATGCCTCATGTTTTTGTAATTGCCAGGTGTAAGTAATGGCAAGGAGGTTGACTGGATGGACTCTCAAGGGGAAGAGCAGCACCTCTGGCAGAAGATGATTGACAATCCTGGAGCTCCTGTGGAGGGGATATTAATGCTGCGATCCAGCATGGGAAAACGCAGACTCTGAAAGACTTTAACTACTGAGGAGTACCACAGGTACTCCTGACTTGAGTGGTGTTCAAGCTCTTGTCACTTTGCCCGTTTGAAAGTGGGGAAGTGTTGTACTCTTTGCCTTGGATATAAAGGCTCTGAGTGAGATTTTAATGCATTCTGCACTTTTATGCACATATTTTTAACCCAGGCTTCTTGTATGGATTATGTTTCTCCCGAAGCCCGTGAGAATTTGACCTTTTACGGAGATCGGACTGGCTTTTTCCGTCCCTTTGGGTGACTGGTGCGCAGCTGATGAACACCTCTGCCTGTGGGGGGCACGGAGTGAGCAAATTCTCTAGTTAGTCATTTAGTAAGTAATGCCTGGTTTACCTATCTCCTTCTGGGTCAAAGATGGCCTAGAAGACAGCAGTGGTACAGTACAAGCAGATTCAGAGTGAGTCTGTGCTTTGGTATTTGAAAGATAAGAAGCCATAATGTTATGAAGGATAACATACAACGTTTCCTTATCACGTTTGCTCGCTGGGCTGCGCCGTGTGCAGGGTGGCAGGCTTGGGACCAAGCAGCCCACCAAGGAAGGCCAATGCACTGTGTTGCACACTAGAAATAGGCAGCAGGTGAGCTGGCGTACAGTGCTGGTGTTCTGGAATTCTCTGGGTTATTTTAATGCACTGTATAAAAGGCAGACTTGTTTCAAGTAATCGAAGTAATCAAAGAGCCTCTAATGAAAATAAATCGTAACAAATCCCCAAACAGTTTCCAGAACTACATGGTATTACTGTGTTTCTCATTCAGTTGACAGCTCTAGCCAAGATCTTCTGGTGTCATTGAAAGGAGGGAATATGTTCACATGCCTGTCCCCATCTGATGAGTTGCTGAGATGAGACACACACTGGGTTTGGACATAGTTAGCTAAGACCTTGATTCAACAGACTGTGTAGTAAAGTGACGTGATTAAAGCACATGCCAGAATGATTTGCACAACTGTGGAACTTTCTCTGACTGGGCTGGGATCTCATTGAGGCGTGCCCACGCAAGTTAATTACTAACCAGAGTAGGACTTTTTTCTCCTGAATATCCCCCTGTGAGGTAACAGTGGATTTAACGATAAGAGTGGGTTTTGGCCACTTCAATCATTAATCTTTTTAACCGTGACAATTGTTCAACAGTAATTTTGCCATTTGGTTTCCTGAAGTGATTTTACACCTACTTAGATCCCCCATCCTTTGGAGACTTACACAGGTCATATGTGAAGAGCATGCTGTTTTGAATAGTTGCTGTGGTCTACTCCTACCATAATGAGATAGGATTATAATCTTTTTTCAAGGACAGCACATGTCTGCTTGCAAGATTGGATAATAATATAATTGCATGGCATGTGATTGCTCAGGGTATAGCACAAAGGAAGATCAGTAAACTGAGTGAACAACATTTCTTCTGAATTTTCCAGAATTAGAATACAGCTTCATATTTGAACTGATAAATTTGTCTATAGCTATTCTTACCTTTTTTATTTTTTTCCCCAAATGTTTTATTTTTGAAAGCAATGTAGTATTAGTACTAAGGAAACAAATTTAAATATATGGAAACATAATCCTTACATAAATTACTGGGAAAACCCCTAACTTTCAAAGAATGTATCATTCCCTTTAGATCAAAACACCAGTATTCGAAGATTTCTGTGAAGAATAAAGATCATAAAATCTAATTTGTTTGAGAGATACAAATGGTGTTCTTCACAATCCAGAAATTCCAAGAAATCTAGATTGAACAACAGAATATGAACTGATAGCTAAGTAACTACAGCTGGAAATTCTGACATCTGTAGCTGTCCTAGTGTACAATTATGTACATGTATTTGGAGCTGAATCCAAAACCTTAACATTTAATTTTTTTTTTTTTTTTTTTTTTTTTTTTTTTAAAGATATTTTATACTGGGTTTGGTTTGAGTGGCTTGAAACTGCAGGGAAGTTTACAAGCAGTCTTTTAAAATCCTAATATTATTAGTTTAAAAAAATATTTATTTTTGTTAAAAATAGTATCTTAGTTTTAATATGACAATTTGTTTCATTATGAATATTATCTATTAAAATTCTGATATGACTTTAAAAAGTCATTGGAGGTATTGCTTGGCCAGTTTGAGACCCATAATTTTAAAAAATTACCGAGTCATCTTTGAAAAGAAAACTCCCTTAGAGAATCTCAGTCTGGGAACCAAAAGGCAGTAGTTGCTCAAGAAAACTGACTTCATTTTCCTTCTTTATCTATTCTTCATTTTCTTCTGAAGTCCTGCTCAAATTGGGCAGTGAAGCAAGTCTAGTCTAGCTGTCTTTTCATTTTCTGCTGCAGATGCTGTGAGCTGATAAATTAGAGCACAAATACCAAGCACATACATTTTATGACCTTTTTTGTATCATGATAATCTTTTTTTAAGTATTAGTGGTTTGTTTTTTTTTTTGTATCAGCATCCCCCAAAGTGAAACCAAACCTAACTTTTGGCACCTAAACTACCTCTCTCTTTAACAGAATTGGTCTGAGTTACCTTGGTTGTACTGCAAACCTGCATTTATTTTGGGAATAATAATATTATATTGAGATGAAGGCACAAGCTTGATTTTTCACTTGCTGGAAGTTGACTCAAAAAGATAAAGCTTGTTAAATCTAAAGAAAATGATTCTTCAGGGTAAAATTCCAGCTAGAGTTGCAGAGGAACACTGGGCAGTGGAATGGTTTGGCTTTGTTTCTTTTTGATGGTGAAAATGGGAAAAATAGTAAGACACAAAAAATCCTCCAAGTTGGACCCCAAAATGGACAACTTTTTCTTTTGCCAAATTGAAAACCTTAAAATAATTTTGAACTGAACTAAATCTTTTACTTTTACATGGAGTACAAGAGTTTGTCTAATTTTTGAATGGTATTTTCTAATCTTCTAAGCATGAACATTTTGGCTAAATCAAGTCTTGCTTTGAAAGGAAAAATCTGTGCTTTATTACTTCAGCTTCTGCCCATTTTGGTCTTATGGTAGGGTTTGCGATGAATGGACTCATCTGGGAAGCGTCACCCAGCTCATGCGCAGGCATTAAGTTCTGCCTTTTCCTTCCAAAGGGCCAAAATTTCACTCTAAGCCTGCACCTGAAATTATAGACTGGGCTATGAATAGGCTGTAGGTGGCAACTGCAGTTCAGCATATGAAAGGAACAATTTCACCTGGGAAGTAATTTCCGCCAAGGCGGTGGCGTTTGCCATTGATGGGATTTGGAGTAGTACAGTGAAATTACCCCCTAGGTTAGCAGGAACAATTCTGCATTATGGTAGCATATGATAGGTATCACACTCTGCCTCAAATGAGCCTCAGAGAGATGATGAGCATCATATAAACACATAGAGCAATTTGGAAAGCTTTGCTGTTCTGTGATCTTATCGGCGCATTTGTAGGAAGCGTTTGATTTGTGGAAAATGTCACATTTAATTATATCTCTTGTGTCTTTGGTCTCTTCCTTTATGAAAATGATTTATGGTTTGGAAAAAGCACAAGATGATTAACTGCAGATGTGATTTCTTGTTTCCCAGATATTTGAATTAATTACCTGTAATTGTCCGTCATCACGTACTGTGTGTTACCAGGCTGAACAAAAAGACAGAAAGCCAGGAATTAGGCTAAAGCCTTCCTTTAGTATGTATGTTTATGGTATTGAAGGTGCATGAATGGTTTGTTCAAGGCTAATTTTTAGGAGAAAATAGCCACAATTTTAACATTGATTCATAAACTCCTGCCCTGAGTAAATAGACATGACAGAGCTGACGTTTCTAAAGTATTTTTCCACACAGACTTGAATAACTGAAGATGCATCAGTGGAGGAGAAACCTTCTCTACAGTGGTTTTTGAAAACATGTTGCACAATGAATTTTATTCTGATATATATTGTTCTACTACAGGGCTTTCTTCACTATCTTTTCCCCCTTGTGATTAGATTTTGAGGGTTTGACCCACCAAAGAAGAATAAAAGTGCAACTTTCGCTGCAAAAGTCAAGTGGGGCCAGGAAGTACATGTTTAGACAGTGTGGTTACTGCCAGTATCCATCAAAAAGAGCTGATGCTGAGGGCTCTTCAAGCCCTGCCATCAGACTTTGGTATCAAGACGGGTTCTCTAGAAGTTTCTCTGCTCAGTTTATCAGCTATATGGGGACTTTAGGCTTCTAAATGTTGATGCTCTTGCTTGCATGCTTAGATGTCAAAAGCAGGCTAAAATAGTTTTGAAATGGCCTCCCCATCTCCTCCACCTCCATCGTGTTACGTTTGAGCGAGGGTGGGAGGAAAGCTGCAAAGACTCTGAGGGACACTGTTGCCATCTTCCTGTGCTAATCCAAGTGCCATTGCCTTCCCTGAATGCCTTTTAGATGCCACATTTTGATCTTTCTTTCCCAGCTGGATGCTTTAGCAGATGATTTAAGAGAGAAGGCATTGGGATCGTGAGTGTGTTTTGATCATGGTGCATTAGACTGGAAGCTTATTCTTCTGTGCCTCTTCCAACGCAGATTATGCTAAGATAGCATGAAAGAAGCGTTTTTATGTTGTGTTTGGGTTTTTTTTTTTATTTTCCTCCCTGGTTAGGCCCTGCCAAGTGCAATTATTCTAAGCTGTATTCTGCAAAATATCAACTAAACCATAACAGCAGAGCAGCCATTGAGCATCCACTGGTACTAATTCATAAGGAGAGGTCACAGGAGGGTTGCATTTAGACTGGCATCACTTTGGCTTCTTGAGGGGTAGGCACATTGCCCAGCTTCAGGCATGTAAAGTTTGCGGTTTGTTCTGTAGAGTCGATGAAGAGAAAGGCTGCTTGGATCTCCTACACCTTTGAAAAAGAGCTGAGTCCTATTTCCACAGCTGTCTAGTTTGTGGATTCACACAAGATAGTAAGGGTTGTACCTGAATCTTTGCAAGGGTCTCTCTCCCCTTCATCCCTGCCTTTGGTTCAGCAACTCTCACCAGAATGTTCTACCTGAACGTTAATC